CCTGCTGTGTGCCAGTTTGAAGCTTGGCAGTTTTGTATAGCAAGGATTAAACACTACATGGCTTAAAGGGCCAAAAGACCATGGAAAGGAAAGCAAAGCAGAATAGCTGACTTCTCTCACTCATATAAATATAATCTGAAGGCTGAAAAACAGGCCTGAACATGATTTTGCAAATTTGATAAAGACCTGAAAAGTGACAGAGGGTTTTCACAAGAGGCTTCTGGTGCCATTCCTGTTGCTTGAGACTGTTAAACTCACTCAGCCAAGCAAGAAGTTTCACATGAAGGTTAAGAACCAGGGAAGTTGCCTTAGCTGTGGGTTGTTACATTAGGAGTTGCTGGGCAGGCAGCTATGCTGAATGTTCTCCTAGAGAGGATCACTATTAAAGTACTGTTGGTGCCACTACAGCTCATTGTAGGGCAGAAGAGATTTGTTATCATCATGTCTCTGTTGTGCCTACCTACCTACCTCCTCTTTCTTTATTGAACAAAGAAACCTGTTCTTTTCCTTTAAAGAGAGTATCCCCATGAATTTCCTTTCATATTTTGCACTATATTTTTGTAGGATTTAGGCCCTCGTCTATTTTTCTTTTCCAAGTCTAAATAATAAGTTGTAATCCTGGCATTTCTGAATTCTCAGCGTGGGTCCGTTTATAAATTAGTAAGAGTAAAATTAGCCAAATCCTAGCATGAAAGAAAATTGGCCTCCTTCTTAAAACTATTGTTGTATCACAATGGTGCTGAGAGGCACAAGCCAATAATGTGCAGCACTGTTAACCAGACAGCAGAAATAGGAGATCAGTCAGACCTTGAAAAATGTGGGATCTCTGTGGATAAATCAGAGGCAGAAAGAAGAAGAAAGTGACTTGATGAGTGTTACACAGTAGGCAACAGAGAGGCCAGAGCAGTACCATTGAGTTCATCTGTAGCGCGTATGTATCCTCGCACCCTTGAATTCCACTGTCTGTCTGCACTGGATGCACAGCCATGCTTGCCTTGGTGTCACACCCCTGGTCTGCTGTATTCCTGCCTTTCTGGAGAAACTGGGAAAGGGAATAGAGGCAAATGCACCTTGGACCTTTGGTCCTTCACACTAAAAATCCAAAGAGTGCCCAGAGACCCCACGGTGTCAGCACAGCTGGGTTACACCATTTGGGTAAGGAATACCAGGATATACTTCATCTGTGTCCCCAAAAGTAAGAAAAATACCTTGATCTCTCCCACTCTTGTAACTTTGCCTTCTGACCACCTTTAACTAGATCTAACAAGCTCCCTTCAAAACAGTTCCCCCTTTCCCTCCTTCAGTGAAGCAAGCATCACCAACACAAGCACAAATGCAACCAATGGAATCTACCAGAGGTGGCGCTGGATGGGGTTCATTTTCCTCATACCTGTGTTCAAAAGGTCCCTCAAGTATTTGCCATTCCATATGGCCCTGCACGTTAAACATCCCCATTTGTGGCCATCACTGCCACAGCCTGCTTTGTCCTGTCTTAATTCTGCCAGATCCTAGTCCTGCTATCAAAGTTAAGGAACAAAGAGAAGGACCAGTTTCACCTGTGCTGCTGGAGTGATGCTGCCTCCCATCATGGTTCTGGATTTCCCCACAAAGAGGAGAGGTTTGAGTTTTGTCACTCAAAAGAGGTAGGAGTGAGCACAAATCAGCACTGGGTCATCTAAGAAAGAGACAAAGAGCAGAGATGGGACTAGCCTTGAAGCTGAAGACATGGCCTTCCTGCTCCCAGTGCTGCTGGAGGGATCTGAGCAGGTATAGTCCCAACGCTACACACTGTGATCCCTTTCTAAGGTCTGACTCCCAGTGGCATGATTGCTATTTTTCTACTTCCAGGACACTTCTGAGCTTAGGATCACAGTCAAGTCTTTGTTGCCACCATGCTACAGTTACACAGTATCAGAGAATCTTGAATGATTTAATCTGTTCACTGGCTTTTTGGGGTGTAGAGTGGCTGCAATGCATTGATTCCCAGTTCACCCTTCTTTTTAGCTATGCTTCTGCATGCAGTCTGTCTGGAGGTGTGCAGAGGATGACGATACAGAGCTACTGCGCAGGAATGTTCTTGTGGTGGTAGAGTTATGGGTGGCTCATTCTACAAATTGTATGACTTCTTTCCATGGTCTGAATGGCAGAGAAGAACCATGAATAAATAGAGTCCAGGACCAAAATGCAAAGGAAACTCAGTACTGCTAGCTACTGAAAACAACTGTTAAGAATTGGTTGAAAAATTACTTAAATTGCAAGTGTACCCTCATGATTATTTGTGCAATACCCAGCATAACAGGACAGAAATTTGTCTTTGCCTGAAAATGAAGGGATCAGTTCTGTTCATACTACTATTAAACTGAGGTCTCAAATACTGTCACTATATTAAATATAAGCAGGTTTGCATTCTTCAATTCCACACCATGGGCAATATATTTTATTCTTGTCTTTTCATAGAATGGTTTGGGTTGGGAAGGACTTTAAAGATCACCCAGTTCCAACCCCCTGCCATGGGCAGGGACACCTTCCACTAGACCAGGTTGCTCCAAGCCCTGTCCAACCTGGCTTTGAACACTGCCAGGGATGGGGCAGCCACAGCTTCTCTGGGTAACCTGTGCCAGTGACTCACCACCCTCATAGTGAAGAACATCTTTCTAATATCTAATCTAAATCTCCCCTCTTTCAGTTTAAATCCATTCTCCCTTATCCTATCCCTATATGCTCTTGTAAAAAAATCCATCTCCTGGTTTCTTGTAGGCTCCCTTTAGGTACTGGAATCTGCTAAGATCTCCCTTGAGCTTTCACTTCTCCAGGCTGAACAACCCTTTCCTGACATTATAGTATTTTTCATTTTATGTTAGCATCTTTGGTGCCGTTTCCTTTCCACTCATAGTGTCTTCTCACACCTTTGAAAGAAATAGTTATAATATGCTTCATACTTGAATGTTGAATTAACCTTTTCATATCTCATTAGCACCTTTCTCTTCCCACCTCATGCTATGTTTCTACTTTGTCTTTTCAGATTGCTTCTTAAATTAGTCCTTTTCATTTTGTATTTGCGAAATATGAAAACAAAAAAAAAAAAAAATAACCCCCCCCATCCCTGAGAGGGCATCTTATTGCCCAGTTGAAAAGAGCTGGCTTGTCACATCAAAGACACATCTTTACTCTGCATGTGACTTTCCTCACAGGTGTACATCTTGACCTCTCTTTTTCACCAATGTGTTATGAGTATCAATGTTTACCAGATACAAACAGATGGTGACATTGTTGTTTAATAAATGTGAGCTTCTGGCTTTAATTCTATGTTATACTTACCAGTCCTAGTGTGGAAGTTGTACAAGTTTTTTTGTTTCCTCATAACTCAATCACAGGTCATTGATTTAGTGTTAAAATTGCTGCTTTAACTCCTCACCTCAGACTCCCAGTAGCATTAAACAACTCTTAAAAGTGAAGAATAGAAGTGATACAAGAAGTCTTGAGGTCCTCTTTCAGGCCTTTGTGTACAAGATGGTCTTGGGTTTGTAGCCTGCTCTGGGGTCAAACACTCACCAGAATAACAGCTCCAACACAGTTCTTCTGGGGGAGTCTCTAACTGCTGTGGTAGAGAGCTGTACTCACTTTGACTGGGTTAACCAACAGCCAAGTATTATATGTTAAAATGGTTTTAGTAAAAGAGCAGAATTTATTGATCCAAACTGGATTCTTCAACAGGGCAGCTACCTTCAGTTACTGTGGAGGGAAGCTAGGGAGGTCAGTGTCCCTAGACCAAATTTAGACTTTGTAAATAACCCCTCAGGCAATAACATGCAAGTCTGTGCAGACATCCAGAAGAAAACAATTAACGAATTACTATGCTTGAGGTTGCAAATACCAGCTTAAACAATATTTGGTTGTTGAAAACATACAACTTCATGAGCAGACTGAGAATTCAACTTAAATGCTCATTCTGGTTTGCAGAAGTGGAGATGAAAGCTAGAAGCTCAGCTAGGGGTCCCAAAGGTGAGCCTCAAAAAGTAAGACTGCAGAAATAGACCAATAATTAAATTAATGGAATCTGTAGGAATTCCTGGATAATATGATGAGGTTGTCTCCTCCAAGGAGGAGAAAAAGGTGGCATCTGTTAATGAAAAAGCTTGAGTGTGCGTCATAGCAAACTTGTTTTGAGGAGAAGACACCCAAAAGGGGCTCTCCAAACAGACTGTTTGCAGTACTCTGTTCAGCTAGAAATCTCAGTCTTCACAGAGAGTAGATTTGGACAGAGCAGCCACTGATAAACAGGAATAACAAAGCCATGCTCATCTTCTAAATGACAAATGACTATTTTTGATAGACATGAATTCTGTGCAGGTAGGGACATAGCTGCATAGCCCTATTCAGGTATAGGAGATATCAGTGCTATTGATATATAGTACCAAACTAAACCTAATATTCTTGGTTCAAACAGCTCCAAACATTGAGACACTTTATCTCTGCAAAATGAACTACCATATACTGGCAAAATGATAATTCAGAACAACTCCCTTATTCAGAATTCAGGATACTATTGTTTTTTCCTTGTGGAAAATAACAATAGAGTTGTAGGACATCCTAACTTGGTAGCATCAAGTAATTACTCAACCCACATCCTGTTTTACCTCAACAATAGGAACTTGTTCATATATATATATGTTTACATCAACATGTATATATTTAAATCATACATATATATGTATGATTTTATGGTAAGTTCACTTTTTGTTCAAAGTCTCATATAAATTTTAAAAAGTGAGCAGGTAGCAACTTTATTCTTCTGTCTAATTCAAAGAGTACTTTAAGGGCAATTTCACAAAACACTTCTAAAATATGATCCCCTCAAATTGGGTCTGTCAGGATGCATAAACTTTGACTGTGCTTTGGTTGTAAACAGATAATCTAGATTGATCTGCTGTGCAGAAAGATAATGCTGGGTACAACTTGCAATTGTTAAATGACACAAGAATAATGCACTGGATTTGGGATCGGTCAGCTCTTCTGGCTTTAATCATTTATTTTCTTTTCTTCCATTTTATAACTGAGCTGTTGATGTAATCCTACCCCATGTGAATGCTAATTTCAGGATTTCACAATAAATGAAATGCCATCTAAACCAGCATGAAATATCCTCACAGTTTAAACTAAGGTGCCCACAAATGTTGGACAAGGACTAGGCTCCTGATGTAGCCAATGGGGTATCCAGGGAGTAATTAAACTCTCAGCAAAATGTTTTAAACTTGACTCTGGTTTCTTTTTGCTTGCCTGAAGAAATTTAATGTCTTATTTCAGTAGAGAGAGGGTGGATCATGCAGCAAGTGGGAAAGCAGGAGACCTGTCTTGGATTCGGTGACATCAGGCTCCTTGAACTGAGTCCTCTGTTATGTTTTCACCAAGAAAGGCCAAAAAAACCCCATTAGGTGAGCTATGTAGCACAGGCCAGTAAACTTTCCAAAGAATTTTTTTTATCAGCATTATAAGCTTTGCTTGACCATTAACAGTCCTTTAAAAGTCACTTCTCATCCAGTGACTGCCCACCTTGAGAATGTATTTCTCAGCTAAATGTTTGCACTCAGGATAAGAGCAAAACCACTGGGCAACGCCTGTACCAGGGAACTAAACAGGATCACTTTGCCTTTGAAACTGATGACTTTACTGCCTACTGGGAATGGTCCTGGGCTCATTCAGCTGACCTGTGCCTGGGAAAGACTTAGGGCAGTGCTAGCTGGCTCAGCCCAAAACAGTGCCAGCACCCGTTCTGTGAATTTAGCAAGGTGACAGTTGAATTCCAGCATCTTGGTGGATTTAACAGTGTTAGGTTTACAGTTGGAGTTGATGATCTTAAAGGTCTTTTCCAACCTTAATGGTTCTGTGGGTATGTGGTTCTTCTGATCTTTGTGGTGATCTGACATTGTTTAATTTACCAATATTATGGTTTTGTGTGCACTAAACAGGATTGTCAGATTGCAGCAGTCTTCTACTTTCTGTCACAGGATTTACTGTGCCTTGCTGATGTTAGCAGACATTTCTTCCCCAAATTGGGATCAAATGCTGACTTATAGAATCATAGAATCGTTAGGGTTGGAAAGGACCTTAAGATCATCTAGTTCCAACCCCCCCTGCCGTGGGCAGGAACACCTTATGCTAAATCATATCACCCAAGGCCTCGTCCAACCTGGCCTTGACTTTCTTGAAAAGATTACACTGTTTTGATCAAGCTATTTAAGACTCCCTTATAAGCATGTTTTTGAGACATCATATCTGTAATTTTTTAGCCTTTGCTGATAGACGTTCCTTTTATAATTAATATTGTCTGTCCTACCTTCCTAGACTAATACAAAACTGATACTCAGTTATACACACAAGGCTTGAGAAGCTTTGCAACAACCAACCACATTCAGCTGAATATCTGCTGCCAGAGAACATGGTGAAGGATAACTGGACTGAACATCTCACCAGTAGGTGCTTGATTTCTTGCGTTAGGTGGTATCTTCAGTCATAAACCATGTGAGACTTTGAAGGAGACCACAAAGGGGCACTGGAACAAATTGTACACGACAGAGCTCCACCTGTTGTGGAGTCTCCATCCTCAGAGATATACAAAATCCAACTGGACACAGCCTTGAGCAATCTGCTGTACCTGATCCTGTGCAGCAGTCTTGGACTGTATGACCTTCAGAGGTGCCTTTCATCCTCAGTGATTCCATGTGCTCTTTTCATTGAATTGGGGTTTGGAACATCAGTTTCTCTTCACCCAGATAAGATCAAAGTCCCTCCTACCTGTGTTTTCTTCCCTCTACCAATAACTCGTGCCTTCCTAGCTGTCCAGTCTATACAGTCTCATAACCTTTTTGTCTTACCTGTTCAGATTTTTCAGACCAGCAGTTTCTGCCATTGAACTAGAATTTTATAAATTCTGGAGAAGAACCGGTGGACTGTTCCATCTCCTAGTGCTTACCTATGCCATGAGTACATACTTCATTGTGCTTCTGCTGACTTTGGAGTGATGTGATGTTTGGGGAAATTTTCAGAAGCACTTGAGCCAACTAAACATAAGCCAGCCTCTGTCAAGAAGTAGCTTACCATAGGGCAGTGGTTTCTGAGGATAAAATCATAGAACCATAGAAGGCTGGAAGAGACATCAAGGATCATCTGGTCCAACCTTTCTAGGCAAAACATTGACTTTGACTAGATGTCCCAGCACCCTGTCCAGCAGAATCTTAACAGCGTCCAATGCTGGGGCTTCCACAAGTTCCCTGGGGAGATTATTCCAATGGCTGATTGTTCTCACTGTGAAAAATTTTCTTGTGACCAGTTAGGATCCCCCCAGGAGTAATTTGCCCAGTCTTCTTTAAAAACAAGGACTGTGTCTGTGGCAGCAGAATTAGTGGTGAATTTGGTATGTGAGATCTCTGTTTAGAGGTAGACGCAGATTTACTAAGAACAAAACTCATCACACCTAACATGCTGGCAGTGGGGTCATGGTCCCAGGTACAGGGATTTTGTTTCTCTGAAGTGATAACCATACCCTGAGCAGCACCTCTGTGAGATCAGTTCACTTTATAGATGTAGCTAGCGAGCAGTACTGAACCACCACTGCCCCTGCAGTTTTGGGTTGGTTTTATTTTTTAAACTATAGCTGTTAATTGCAAAATACATTAATAACCTTTGGAGCAAGAGCTCCCTTCAGCACCATACTAGAGAGTCAGATACCACTTGGTTTTTCTCCCTCCAATCTTGTGACCTAGGTGTGGAGCAATCCAGCTTCAAGTGGAGAGGAAAGCATCTCTCTGTTATGCCATTTTTCTCGCCCCAAAGTATCAGTAACCTGCAGAATAAATGCTCTTACAGGAAAAACATATACACAAGTCTCTGAAACCAGAGGAAGGAACTAATTTCTCCATTTCATGCAGGATGGATAAGCTTTTAGGGCAAAGGAGGCCTGAGAAGGCTACAGGTGCTGCTGAGCCCTGTCCTATACGTGTTGTGCTGCATGCAGTTGGGTGCTGAATTAAACTCCTCAAAGTCTTCAGTGCAAGGATCCCTGGGGTGTAAATCCAGACAGCTTCAGCACAGGAGCACAGATACATGCAGCAAAGATGAGGTGGTAGCATATCTGTGTGTATGGTCAGTTTTGCTTTCTGGTGAAACTCAAAGCTTTTGAAGTCTCTCAGATTCTTAAGGATTCCAGAATTCAGGATGTTACTGCTATACTTAAGCACATAAATTCCACTTAGAATTGCACATGAGATCCCTATGTGCTCTTGCGGATCTTAAAATTCCCTAAGTCTGAACAGTGTAAAATAGGCCAAGCTGAGAATGATGCTAATGCAGTTTAGCATATCTAGGCACTGGAATTAAATAATTTAGATAATTTAGAAAGATCAGCTCTTCAATGTGCTGGCTGGGTGCTGCCCAGCCTAAAAGTAAAGTTAATGGCATTGCAACTAGAGAGATGTAAATTGTGTACACTGAAATCAAGACCTCTGTATGTAAATTGACAGATGAGTCTGTAACACATTTGGAGACTGGAGCAAAACTCAGCATTGTTTATAAAGACTGAGAGAGCATTATGACAATTGTAGGCTCAGATATTACAAGGAGAAGGTAAGCTTGGATGTGAAGCACTGCTCTGGTTGCTTGCCAGGTAAAAACACTGATATGTCACTGGAGTGAAATCAGAGCTTGGTTTTGCTGGGGTGCTCTGCAGACTGGACTGAACATCCTCTGGTTCTGCTCTGGAGCAGCTCTGAAAGTCAGTGGTGTGACTGACCCTTCTGAATCCCCACAGCAAACAGCTTTCCTCTAAACACTTCAGCATAGAGATCCACCTCCCCAGCCTCGTACTTCCCAGCCATAAAGCTGAAAACCAAACATCCCATTCCCTGCCTCATCCATCAACCTGAATTAATTCCCCAAGGCTGCCGCTGGTTGAACAATATATTTTGCTCAGCAGTAGCAGTGTGGGGGGTTTGAATTGTGAAGTTTATTGACTAGCCCAGGAGCAGAGCGCTGTGAGAAGAGGGGTGGGTGGAGAGATGCTCTGCCAGCCAGGCAGGCGGGATCGCTCTTTCAGTGGCTCAGCCTAGCTTTCACTCTGTCTCCCCAGGGAGGGAGCCTTTCTCTCACTCCAAGCTTCACCCCTGCCGCACAAGAGGGAGGGAAAGAGGAGAAAGCAGAAGGGTCCCTTCACACTGACAGCACCCAACTGCCCGGCTCACATCTGCAGCAGGCAAACCATGAGGAAGAGTCTCTTTGCCCCTACAGTCAATTCACCTTTGGTTTAAAGCCTTCACCCACTTCCACAAGGAACAATGGAGGAGCAGTACATTTCCAAACTCCACCCGGTAGTGGATTATGGAGCTGGGGTCTTTCTTCTGATCATAGGTGAGTTCTGCCTTCACAGCCTGCTTGCTTGCTTGAAGCCTAGGAACAGACACACTGGAGCTGCCCTGGCTGTGCTGCAGTCAGTCAGAGGAAGCTGGAGGGAAATGATAGCACATCTGTTCCCTGTTTAGTGCCTTCAGGTTGGTTGGATGTCAGGATTAATCTCTGCTCTCAGATTTGCAATCTTTTGTTTCCATGCTGAAGACTTGCCAGCACAAGTTTGCCTCTGTGGCATCACAAGTATTTGAACTGTCTACTGCTTATCCTAGCATCTCAGCCCCATTAACTGAGAGATGAAGCAGCTCATTTCATGAGGCTGATCAAGGGAGAATAACTTTGGTCTGACCCTTGGCAGGGGGAGAGCTGTCATTATGCTTGAAAAGCAGCTGTGTCTTGGGAGAATAAAACGGTATAAAATGACAAAAGGTTTCCAATTAGCAGTTCTAGTTTTTATAATGGCCTGTTTGCTCTGCGGAAGGCATATTAAAAATTAAATACAAGTGGGGTTACCTACCAGTGTGCTCCAGCATGGTTTTAGCTAAGTGTTTACTTCCTTGTCTGTTTGTTGCATATACCCAGGTGATTTGGTTACTGCTGTTGTAGATTTGGAGAGGAGCAGAACTGGTTTAGGCATGCACTCCAACTGAATTTTGCTAAGATAGAATCATAGAATAGTTAAGGTTGGAAAGGACTTTAAGATCATGTAGTTCCAACCCCGATGCAAGTACCTGCATCCCTTCAGCTCATTTGAAAACTCTGGTTGAGGTTCATTGAAGAGAGAAAAACATGTATTTTTATGTGCTTTAATAGAGAGACTTTGGGCAATGATGCTGGGCTTTAGCATTCACGTCTCACCCCTGTTCCTGCACACTTTTCATTGCACTGCACTGTGCTGTCCCCTCAGTTGAGCTGACAGCAGAGAGCACAACTCAGGGTGAGAAAAATCACTATCTGCAAAACAAGGAAGAGTTTATATTTAAATTCAAGTTAGGAAGCCAGCTTCTTTCTCGTAGAAATGTAAATATGTAGGTGCAGATAAAGCAACAAAGGACAGGGGGCTGGAGCTCCCCTTGTTAATACTGCTCTTGCCCCACCATGCTACAGTCTCACAGCTGTCCTAAAGGGCTTTTAGGCACCCAGACTTCAGATATAGCTTGCAGCACTGGATCAAGAGCCTTCTGTGGCACCCAGGATCACTACTTGCATAGGGGATCTCAGGAACATCCCATATACGAAGCAGTGAGCTTAACTGGAAACCATGCTGCATTTATCTGTAGTTTTGCCACCTCACTGGGGGCTGCAGCAGGGCCTATGTGTCCTCTGAAATGATGTTTTCATTACAAAACCAGGCTAGGGCAGAGGCTTCAGCACTCACCACCAGCATCTCTGCTATTTGATCACTAGCCTATTCTTGAACTGTTCTGTCCCATGCCAGCCAGCAGCCTCACAAGTAATGGGATGGAAAGAAATAGCATGTCAAAGTCAGTGTGTGCCCAGATGTCTATCTCTGATGGTAAGACTAAGAGCTACTTCCTGCCTTATGTGCGGTGATTAGGGCTCTCTCAGAAGAGAGTGAATTAATTTTCCTCCTGAAGCTTGTGGATGTCCCATTTGGCAAGAGAAGGCTCTTCCCACCAAGCTACAGGTTGCTGGCTGTCATCAAGCAGTCCCATGCCAAGCCACTGTGGGCATCCTGTGTGTGCAGACATACAGCTGTTGAGAGCTCAGGGAACACTTCAAGATATCCAGGGATGCCAAGTGAACGTCTGTGATTAGGAGGTGAATGAAGGATATGGGGTCTCAGGTTTGTACCTCTGTTTTTTTCAAGGCTTTCTCTTCACATCTCTGCCTATTCTTGGATTTATGCCAATGTATTCCATTTTGTTGCATGGGCCTTTATTAATTCCTCTGTGAGCACTTTATTATGTGGTGTCTGTGCAGCTTCCCTGTGTTCACAGCGACAAGGGAACGACAGAATCTTTTTCTGTTTTCCAATTTCACTTCTGGCTTCTCAGGAAAACCTTTGATCAAAATGAAGCTCCAGCACAATATTCGCCTGAAATAGAAGAAAAAATTAGTAGTTTGCTACTTGTACTTTTCACACTGTTGACCTGAATGCTTTGAAGCCCTATGGCGTGTCTGAATAATGTATATCCAACAGGTCCTTTTACAAAGCAATCTCTGGTCTGTTGCATGCCTCTGGCTAAACCATTTCCGTGATCTGCCTCAGGGCACTCAGCCCATACGATTAGTGTGGGTGTCTAAGCTGCAGCACGTAATGACAAGCAAGGAGCTGCCAAACCAGCATATGTTGACTGTCGAGGCAGCTCAGAGCCTGGGAGGATTGTCCTGGTGGTCCAGTGGAAGATACATTGTAAAGGGAGAAGGAAGGCTTTGGGAAGTGGAGAGCACCAGTTGGGAGGATGGAACAAGCAGGCAAGACAGTTGGAGCTCTTCAGTAGGAAGGAGAAGTAAATGAGGATATTACCAGGGAAATATGAAGATGGATACGCCTGTTTTACTTCCTAGTGTGTTGTGCAAGATACTGAAAGAGTGGAGTTTGCAGGTGTGAGATAAACACGAGAGGGAGCCACAGGGGAATAGGTGGGATATAGTGCATGGAGAGGGGGTGTAACATGGAAGTGAAGATTTACAGTGTGGTGATATGAAGGGGCAAGATATTCATATGAAAAAGTTTCCCTCAGTTGAGTGGATGCTGTGATGAGGATGCTGAGCTGTGTAGCAGCTCTCAGAAACGCCATCCAGGCAGTATTTCCTATCTGCTAGCTAAGAGAATGAGTTTCCTCATCATGAGCTGAAGAACAAGGTGTCATGGCAGGGAACAGCAGATACACACCAGTACTGTGCTGATACTTACAGCAGATAAGCATCAGCACAGTACTGTGCTGATTTGGGAGGCTCTGAATTCTGGTTCTGGCTAATCTCTTAGTCTGCTCTCTTCTGGACGTTAGGCTAACACTTCACAGCTGTGTTAACTATGTGGTATTATTGCCCTGTGCTGATGCTTCTCTTTCAGCCATCCTGACAATCCTTGGAAATTCAGCTGTCCTTGCTACAGCCGCAAAACGCTCTTCCCCCCTGAAGTCACCGGAGCTGCTTACAGTCAACTTGGCAGTAGCAGATATTGGAATGGCCATCAGCATGTACCCGCTGGCCATCGCATCTGCCTGGAACCACGCTTGGCTGGGAGGACACGCATCCTGCATATATTATGCCCTGATGGGTTTCCTTTTTGGTGTCTGCAGCATGATGACCCTCTGTGCCATGGCCGTGATTCGATTCCTTGTTACCAATTCATCCAAATCTAACAGTAAGTAATTAAGCTTCTGATAACCTTGTAGTGGAGCATTTGGGCTGTTATATTCAGAGAGGTAGTTAGTAGAATATGGCAGGGTGTATCAGTTCAGTAACCGTAGGAATAATCCTCAACTTTTAGTCCAGTATCAAACCCTATGTTCTTAGAAGGATCTGATTAAATTCCTTATGAAGCAATGAGGATTTTCCACTTCTCAGTAATACCAAGTGAAACTACCTGAGAGTTTGGAGAGCCCAAATGTTTTGCTGGAAGCTCTTGGCTTCCTATTTGTGTGCAAGCAGACACACTGACATACTGGAATTTGAGAGAAAGGAGTGTTCTCTGGCATTCCTGGGGTGGGTGCCTGGTGCATTTGGGGTCAACTCATAGGCCTATAGGGATGCTGGGGAGGGACTCTTCATTAGGGACTGTAGTGATAGGACAAGGAGTAACGGGTTAAAACAGGAGAAGTTTAAATTGGATATAAGGAGGAAATTCTTTCCTGTTAGGCTGGTGAGGCACTGGAATAGGTTGCCCAGGGAGGCTGTGAATGCTCCATCCCTGGCAATGCTCAAGACCAGGTTGGAGGAGGCCTTGGTGGACATGGTTTAGTGTGAGGTGTCCCTGCCCATGGCAGGGGGGTTGGAACTTGATGATCTTAAGGTCCTTTCCAGCCCTAACTATTCTTGTAAAGCTCCCTGACCTATAAAACTTCAGATCAGCACTGAGGTCTGCACTCAGGTCTCACACAATCCATGGACTGTCTCTGTTACATTCCTCAAGAAGACCAAAGGTTCAGGAACTGCAGCAGCAGCCCAAGCATGTTTGTAGCTGCCACACTTCTCTTCAAGAAGCTACAGCAAAAACCATGTGGCTGAGATGAGTTCCATACATGCTTGCTCTTCCTCTTTCTTGCAGGTAACAAAATCACCAAGAACACTGTTTGCATCTTGATTACTTTCATCTGGCTCTACTCCTTGCTCTGGGCCATTCTGCCCTTGGTAGGCTGGGGCTACTATGGCCCTGAGCCATTTGGCATCTCTTGTACAATAGCCTGGAGCAAGTTCCACAACTCCTCCAATGGCTTTTCGTTCATTTTGAGCATGTTCCTCCTGTGTACAGTCTTGCCTGCACTGACCATCGTTACCTGTTACTTGGGAATTGCCTGGAAGGTTCATAAAGCATACCAAGAGATCCAGAATATTGACAGGATCCCTAATGCAGCTAAACTGGAGAAGAAGCTGACATTGGTGAGTTGTCCCAGTGGTGAGAAGAGCCTACAGTAATCAGGAGCTTGCAGAGAACTGGCTCTGCTTACACATGGCTCATGATAACCCTTCATTTTTTCTGTCTAGTATTGACCAAAGTTGGAGATGTGCTTCCAGTGTCATCCACATTGTCATTCCAGTAGCTTGATCATGATATCATAGCTACAGTGCAGCTTATTAAATCTTTAGGCAGTTGCACCCAAGATTTTCATAGACAAGCAAGTTTCCAGTCATGCTGGAAGAGCTGCTGGATTCTTTCATGATGTAGCTGGGCTGAAGGTCTTGTTCTGCATCCTAGGTATTTTTAATCAACTGAGTGGCTATTCTGAGTGAGTGCTACACAGAAATTCTGTACAGAAAGAGGACTTTTTAACATATCATTATTGCAAATAAGCACTTCAGTTGCTAATTTCTTGTGGAAAAGCAGAATTGATCCAAGCTTTCTAGAGGCCAGTCTGTTGATAGGCTACACTGACCAGTTAGGCTGTGTCTCCTGTGACGTTGCAGCCAGAGTCAGGGAAGGAGATGAAAACAAGTACCTTTTAAGAAACCACAGTGTAGATCTGCTAGGTGGGAATAAAAGCATATATGCACTGTCCAATGTTAGCTGTGCTCATGTCACAACATAGCAAGCATACAGTGTCGGGCATTTGAGCTGTTTCGGGCATGGTTACATCCACGCACCACATGCCTGAGTATCAGTGCCCACTGGGAACTGAATCCCTGTTTTCCTTTCAGATGGCTGTGCTCATCTCAGTTGGGTTCCTGAGCTCGTGGACACCGTATGCAGCAGCCAGCTTCTGGTCCATATTTAACCCCAGCGAATCCCTGCAGCCCGTCATTACACTGCTGCCTTGTCTGTTTGCCAAATCTTCAACAGCGTATAACCCTTTTATTTACTACATCTTCAGCAAAACTTTCCGTTGTGAACTCAAACAGCTGCAGTGCTGCTGTGGCTGGCAAGTTCATTTCTTCAGCACTGACAACTCTGCTGAAAATCCCATGTCAATGTGGAGCGGGAGAGATAACATGCGTCTCTCTGCAGCTGCAAAGGTGGAGAACCAGGGAGCTGCAGCTCGCTGAGATGCAGTGATGGTGTCATAACACAGGTCAAAACTTGGGCTCCCTCAGGAGTCCAAATGAGTAGGAATGCAGCACTGCGTATCTTATGTCAAATCCAGAGGTTTAAGTATATATTTTTAAGCTAAGCAACTCTTAAATATAATCTTTATGCTACACAGCAAAAGAACCTATTTTTTTCAAGAATATCCAATTTAGATGAAATAGATTTATGTACTAAACATAAAAAAGATATAAGCTAAACTTATTTTCAGGAAAACAGTTTTAATTAAAAGAGAAATTATTATTGTGGGGCTTATTTCTTATATTTTAGACTTTTTAATGCAACCTATCTGCAAACTCTTGGCTCTTTCAGTAAAACAGCCATCAGAGAAAACTGTAGGTTGAACAGTTTGTTGCCAAACAAATACAGCTGAGCATGCAGTTTTCCAGCAATAGACAGAAAACCATACAGGTAGCAAGAAATACTTAATGTCAGGAGATAAAAGTGGCTGATATCAAAATGTCTGACAGGGATTTACAGTCCCTTGCTCAGTCAGAAGTATAATTTCAACTTCTCAAAACACAGTCAAAAAGGAGTTGAGCAGCCTCAGCCTGCAGAAGTTAGGTGGGAATGTGGCAGTCAGTGAAGGAAGCTTTCTGCATGTCACAAATAGCAAAATGAGAAGTGAAGGAATCCCTCAGCAAAAGGAACTGTGCCCTTGTGCTGTTGCTGGCTGAGGTATAACAGGTGTAACAGCTCTTCTATCATGGGAACTTTTTAGACAGGCATGTTTTATAGGACAAGAGGGATTGGTTTTGAACTGAAAGAGGGCAGATCTAGACTAGATAGTGGAAAGAAATTCTTCCCTGTTGAGGGTGGTGAGACACTGGCACAGGCTGCCCAGAGAGATTGTGGATGCCCAGTCCCTGGAAGTATTCAAGGCCAGGTTAGATCAGGCTTTGAGCAACCTGGTCTAGTGGAAGGTGTCCCTGCCTGTGGCAGGGGGCTGGAACTATATGATCTTTAAGGTCCCTTCCAACTCAAACTTTTCTTTAATTCTATGAACAGGAAGTCACTAGACCTCCTTGTTTCTGAGCAGTGTGAGACTATGGGCATGTGCCTCTGTGAACAAACTTATTTTAAGTAAAGATCTGTATCAACTGCAATCTCTGAAGCGAGGATACAATGCTCTTAGTTGGATCTGAATTTCCAGCCAACTGCAGAAAATCTCAGTTTGAATGAAGTGTTATGGTGCTGAACATCTCAGAAGTATGCTACAGCCTCTTTCACCATAGAAAAAAGCACTATCCCAGGGCAGCTGTACTCTCATTTTATGACGGGATACAATGAGCAAGAAGCCAAAACAAAGTGAAGTGGGATAGGGCCATCATGCCAGAGACTGCCCCTCCAAAGATCTGCACAGCCCGTTTGCCTCATATGGTTCCACACAGGACTTTTCACATGTATAAATCAAATTCTTTCTGGAGGGAAGACAAAAATGGTGAGAATTTAGGATCAATTTACCTGAAGAAAGTCCAAGTGCTAAATAGACAGGGACAGCAAGAACAAAAATACAGAACTACAGAAGGGAGAATGAGCACTGAAATGAACTTCATTTGAAAACCAGCGATGTATTGGGGATGGGCAGTGATGTAGACAGAGCAGAGCTGCATGCCCCTACATAGGTTACTGCCAGATAGAGGATTTGTATCTCATTAAACAAACCATGAACTTTGATAAATTATGTTTTATCTACTTGTATGTTTCTAAAGAGATTTAAGTCAGATTAGCCTTAATATCAAAGTGCTGCTGGATTGAATCACATCTCTACTGAACTTCAATGACTTATCTGAAGACTTCTAGGTCTACAATACCTGCCAAAAAATTCAAAAGAAGTCCTCTGCTTGGCAAAACAGATCAAGCAAAGAGCTGGAACAGATATTTTATTTATCAGTATATATGGAAAAAAAAATGCAACAAACCCAAATGATGAGTTCCCTTCATTCCCAGAAGTCATAGTTGTAGAGGTAAAATTTTCTTGTGAGTACCTATATAAATAATCCTCAAATAGAACAAGCAGAGAATTAATTAGAACTTTCTTAGAAAGCACAAAACACCAGGGCACAGGGCAGTGGAACCAAAGGTATGTGCTGGCCATTGCTTTCTGATGATTACATTCTGTAAGCGATTAGTACAAGGCTGGTTGCGTTGTGTGACATTTCAGCATTACATAGATTGCAGCCTCTTCTCCAGGCACTTCTCAATATCATCCAAGACTTGGACAGCAGCTTTCGGAATGCGAGTCCCTGGACCAAACACATTGGTAACACCAGCTTCATACAGGAAGTCATAATCCTGTTCAGAAAGAAATTTAAGTGCTTTAGTTAAGAGTGCAACAGAAAATTGATAATTGTTTTAAAAGTTCTGTTCTGTTGTGTATGCTGGGCCTGAGAAAGTGTATGTGACAAGTCCCAGAAAGAGGCAGCACAGCAGAAAGGGAAATGGGAAAAAATTGTTAGTTCAGTGGTACAAAAACACTCCTGGGAAAGATTTGTTCAGAATCAGACTAAAGTCAGATCCTTGGAAAACATTCAAAAGTCAACTGGATGTGACCCTGAATGTCCTAATCTAAATATAACACTAATTTTGAAAATACTGCTTTACTAAAGGCTTGGGCCAGATCACTGCCAGTCATTTCTTGTAATTTGAGTTAGTCTGATTTTATGACTGTCCTGAAATTTCAAAAAGGCCTGGGAAGCAGTTATGTATTCTCTCTCTATAGGATACATTATTTTTCAACAACAGGTTAGTAGCATCCCATTGAGAGATACTGAACAAAACACAATTTTTCTCCTAGAAAAATACTATGAGTTCTGTTTGTTCAACTTAAAAGTCTGTCACTCCTGAACACTTACCTAAATGGCTAGAAAAGGAAGAAGTCTGGGAAACGGGTGTAACAGGAGATTTATATGCAAAATCAGATTAAATCTCTCTAGACAGAAGATCACCCTAAAGGTGATTCAGGCAGGGAAATTGTGGATGAGCTAAGGCAAAACCATGGATCTCACTACAAGAGAATCCAGAAAACAGTTCAACAGTTTAGGAGAAAGCAGAGGGAATGAGAAAGAGGCAACACTGAGGCCTGATGATGGGGAACATGAGGAGAGGGTAAATGGTGAATGTGATATGTAGCCTATAGGTGATGGGACCTGTCTGGTGTCTTAGTCACTAGCTATGACTCTTCCAAACTGTTACCAGAAGTCATAAAGTCTCTTAGGAGCTAGCGTTTAACCGTAATATGCAAGGTACTCGTAATCAGAAACAACAGAGCATAAAGAACACCTCTCTCAGGCTACTGATTTCAGGACACAATATACCATCCAACGAATGCTGTAAGATAAACCAGAACATGATGTACAGAAAACCCAATCAGCAAGACCCAACAGCACTCTGCAACCACCTTGCAGATCTGTGCAGAACCTGGTGATTGTACACAGTAGCGTTCAGTTCTGTAAATCTTATTTAACACTAACAGAATATAGGAAATAGCTAAGAGCAGTGCAGACAGAAATAAAGTAGACTCTCAGTCCTGATGGAAATGATGTTGACCTGTACCTGAGGTGGGATGACACCTCCACATATGACAAGAATGTCTGGCCGGTCAAGGGCATTGAGTTCTTTGATGAGTTCAGGCACAAGAGTTTTATGACCCGCTGCAAGTGTGCTCACACCAACACAGTGCACATCTGCATCAACTGCCTGCTGGGCCACTTCTCGAGGTGTCTGTATGGAAAGGGGATGACATGAGAATTAATAGCTTGAGCCTTGCTGCTGAACAAGCATTAGAGGGAAAAATGCTGCATTTGAAAAACACTGGACACTGCTCAGTCATACCTGGAAGAGGGGACCGATGTCCACATCAAAGCCAATGTCTGCAAATCCTGTAGCAATGACTTTAGCTCCTCTGTCATGGCCATCTTGACCCATCTTTGCAACAAGTATACGAGGCCTGCGCCCCTCACGATCCATGAACTTGTTAACTCTGATTGAATATACATATTGTATCTTCGTAAGTCACTGAAAATCATTAGAAGTATTTCCACAAATAAAAAAAGCACTGGCTTCAACTGTAGCATCATTCATATGCATCAGATAAAAAGATCTTCTAAGTCATGCTTTGTCTACATAGTCTGCACACTATGTTAATTTTTATGTTATATGATTACTAATATGATTTCTTGTATTTACTAGCCTCAACAATAAAATGTTCTTTTTTAAAGAAAACCATTCCACCACTTTTCCAGTGGACAAAATTTAATGGTTTTATGGTTTTATTTCAGATTTAATGATCTGAATGACAATTACCTAAAATACAATGCTTAGGTTTTAAGGATAACTACAACCAATTATTTCAAAAGAACTTGTATGGCACACAGAGACATAAAGATGTGTCCTAGACATCATACTGTGCATCATCATTCAACTGGTCACAAGTCTGCCCCAAAAAGGATAACTGTATCCCTCATTCTGTGCACTCATTCCAGCACCTCCCTTCTTCTGGTTAGTAGCAGTTCATATTTCTGTTGTATTAAGGTGACTCGATAACCACAGCACATCTTTCATCTTGCTGCTCATTATCCATGTACCACTACTTTGACTGGGACACTAAAACTACCACATCTCAGAAATGGCAGTTTTTATTGGTTTTGGTTCTTTTTTTATTATTCATAGAACTGTAGAATCACAGAATGGTTTGGGTTCGAAAGGACCTTAAGATCATCCAGTTCCAACGTCCCTGCCACGAGCAGGGACATCTTCCACTATACCAAGTCACCAAAGGGTCTGTCCAACCTGTTCTGAGAGGAGCTGGATGGATTTGATGTGCCTTGAAATCATATGTTGACCTGGCCAGGATGATCACCCTTTGAATCCAGTAGCTTACTCAGGGGAAAAGAATGACTCTAGATAAAGCATTTATTAGCACAGACGTGAAAAGCCTCAGGAGGTGATTCCAGGACAG